CTTAGCAATCCAAGTGAAACTGAAGTGACGGTGTCAGGGAGTCGTGCGTCTTAGTATTGCTCAGTAACTGAGCATCAGGAGCTCAGGCACAGCCAGACCTCAGTCCTTCTCTCTGATAGCTCCACATGCCTCACTTTCTCATTGGCTTGGGAGGCTCATGTTCTTCGTGGGCATGAGCAGGACAGGTAGCTTTGTGGTCTCTGAGATGTTAAATGTTTGCAAACCTAAGGTGGGCATTAAGAACCAAGTATTTTCTGCTGTTAAAGGAGTGCATCTCCAAAATAAGAGAGATCACTGTAATTTATACAAACATGCCTTTTCTTTTCACTTTGCAATGAGTTCTGCTACTGAGACCTCTGTGACTTGTCCGCCAGGACACTCAACTTCTGTCGGGGAAACCAACTTTCACCCACCACGAGCACACAGCAGTACAGTCTCAGAAATCCGGGCCATTGCATCCTCCTCCTCTCCCACCAAGGCATAACTCGGACAGCGCAGGGATTTCCCTCTCCCGGAGCCTCCGCAGCTTCTTCCAGCGCGGTCGGAGCCCACCCCCTGCTGGGGACTCGGCTCCGTCTGCCAGCGCGGCCGCATTCCTCCCCTCCATCCCCGCGCTCCGCAGGCTCATGGCATTTGTATACGCATCACACAGTTTCCGTCTGGCTGCACAGCAAGCAGTCCTCTGGAGCTCACAAATACCCAGTTTGTAGCTGACAGTGCATTACTTTCCTGACACACAGTCATGCTCTGCTGTCTCCAGCAAGAACTGGGGAGAGACTGTAGTTGTCTTCAAGCCATTAATTTTGAGGACTTTTAAAAAAATTTATATCAAAAGAATCCTTCCTTTCTATTCTTTGTTATATGCATTTAATAGTGGGTTTGGTTTTGTTGGTTTTTTGTTTTGTTTTGTTTTTTAAATATATATTTTTGCTGCAGTTTTGGACAGCATTGCTGCAGCTTCAGCAGGGAAGCAGTTTATCTGGAGGGTCAGTGAAATCCCAGTGTCTGGTTGCCCTGGTTTCTTTCAATGAGGAGGGAATGCTGCAGCAATGAAAATTACCTGCTCTTAGTCACTGGAAATCTTACATGTTTGGGAAGTGACTAAGCTGTCCTTTCTATACAAGGACACTGCCTTGTATAGATGAAGAAGAAGAAAAGAATTTTCAGTTTGTGGAAAGTTAGAGATCAACAAATTGAAAACGATAGCAGAGCTCTGGAAAACCTCAGGAGTGGGGTTTTCTATAAGGGTCAGCAGGAAGGAGACGAGGTGCAGCAGGTGGTGGAAACACTGCTTGTATAAGTTTGGCTTCTGTCATTAATTTTTCCCATGAACATAGCAACAATTTCAAGCCCTGAAACACAAGTTTTTAGTGAGCTGCAGATTTTCCTTTCTGTATCCAATTGAGACATACATGAAAATACTACTTGGATTTCACCAGAATAAATTGACTGTGGGAAGAGAGTCCAAATATGCTTCATAGGGCATGCAATGAAGATCTTACTAATCCTATATCTAGAACAAACCAGAAAATGCTGGTCAATTGATCAGTTTCCTTTCAGTCAAATTCATAAAATCATGTTACCATGCAGTTCCCATGACAAATCAGTAACACGCTGGAGAGACCTCTCATGAATTTCCATCTTACCTATTCAGGAGCACAAGAAATGTCTCTGGGAGCATCTGGTGGGAAGACCATTTCCACTGTAACCTGAGATTACCTAGTCTATAAGGCTTTAAGAAGAAACTGCTGCTCTAGGAGGTCCCACAGATCAGCTGTCTAAGCAGAGTGAGTCTTTCTGCTTTACTTCTGTTTGCAGTGAGTTTCAGCAGTGCTAATGTTTCTGCCAGGGCTCACTGAAGGGAAGGCCTGCAGGGATTTAACTGTCAGTTTGAACTGATTTTGTGCTGACTCTTGGACCCAGAGGATATAATTTCTGGTCAGCTGTAGCCTTTCCTCCATGCTGGCACATTTAGTGGTGGCTTTCTGCATTTCTGAGAACTGCAGGTTATAATTTCTAGTAAAATAAACTGTTTCTTGTTCTTTTTACAGTCAATCAATAGCTGACTGGAGCTCCAATGTCAAGCATTGCTGTACACTGCCTAGAAGCCTGAACTGGCAGTGAGGAACTTCCATCTGCAGGACTCATCTCACCGTGTACTTCTGTTCTCACCTTCAGTTCGTCCAAATATAGCACCCCTGGGGCAGGAGCTGACTTCTGCCTTGTGTTTTTCTCACACCCTTGTGATCATTGTGGTCCTTAAACAAAAGGGCTTCTGATTCATTAACACATTTGAATAACCCCATGGGAACCTTCAAGCCTAACTGGGATAAGAGGTGCCACATTCCCAAACAGCCGGCAGGCTATACGATGGCTAATTTATTGGCACAAAATTACAGGATGACCCAGGCTGATCTGAGCCATAGCTTCTTGCTGCATATCCAGCCAGGGGGTCTATGGTGTTCTTTCCAAGTTTTCCAATTTGCTGGTTTGGCAGGATTCAGGTTTTTCGATAAAGTTGCAACCTCAGTTGACAGGCTAAGCCAAAATGAGGTCAAAGTACACAGAAATTATAACTGGAAATAAATGTTGGCAACTCTGAAATAAATACCAGTTTTGACTTCTGATTTTTTAATAAAAGCAAGACACTGATTTCTACATCACTTCCACCAGGGCAGCTAGCAAGGACAGAACAGTACACAACTCAGACTAGTCGTGCACATCCATGCATAGGAGGCAGATAGTGAGCAATGTTCATAGCCCAGAGGCATGGAAGCAGCCTTCAGCTGGGGCTTCAGGGCACTGCTACAGTGTGAATTAGACGTAGCTCTGTTCTGTCTCCACCCTAAGTGATAAACAAGGCATGAAAGTGGTAAAGTTAAATTATGTCATTCTTGAGCACTCTATGCTCCTTTTAGTGTGCTGAAATTTGTTCTACTAGCTTTGGAAGTTAGCATGCAGATATTTCACGGTCTTGGCTAACCATGCATTTGTTAACTTCTCAGATGTCACATGAAGGGCCTGCTCTCTGTCTCCTTTGTCTGTGAGGACCTTATAGGCTGTGCCAAAAATACAGCCAAGACAAGCATTTTGCTCCAGATGTAAGCTGCCCCAATTTTAACTCCTGCACACTGTTAACAGGCTTCAGTAAGTTTGGAAACCAGCATAAAACATAGATTTCTCTGAACTTCCAAACTTTGCAGTTTTTGCAGTGTGTTATATTTCTGGCAGGAAATCTGGATTAGATGCCAAGTTCATAGGAAATTCAGTATCCCAGTATAAAATGTTTATAGTTGGGTGTGTATCTCTAAGGGCACCTTCCAGTTGCTAAGTTAACATGATCAAAAGAATCCCCCATCCGAGAATCAATCAGCCATCTGTAGAATGCAGTGAAATTGCTTCCAATAAATAGTACAAGCATGAGGGAGCCTTTCCTGTCAGGGCCTCAGATCCAAAGTCCCTCACAGTATCTTCTTCAGGACCTCAGCATCTCCTGGTGTCTAGACTGTTTAGTTCATCGTTTTGATAGTGACAGAACCATGATTAAAACTGTAAGAGGACATGTTATTTGCTTTCACGGTATAAACCAGAAGCTTGATCTTACCCTAGCAAAGGCAAATCCTTAGTGGTTCTAGATTCACAAACATAGCAATAACTAAGTGGCAGTCTTCAGACTTCTTTATTATAAATATGTGCTTTAATAATTTTTCCAAGATATAAAATTTGCATATACATTTGTAAATTATATATTTGGCCTGGTTGCACAATACAATGTATCTTCTCATACTAGGTAATGTATTTACATGACACTATTACTAGAACTATAGGGTGGTAGGAGGTTAGCTTCACAAATACCCTGTCCTTATTCATACCTTATAAGGATAAGCTAAAACATCTCCATTATGTAGATTGCAAACATGCCAAACTAGTGTATAAGTATACTCCATGGTTAAATGATCTTACTATTCCGTGAGCAGGAACGATGTGATAGTCCTTACATTAAAATTGACTGCTTTACACCTATTTCACTTTTACATTGAAAAATATTTGCTCATCTATAGAAACTAAAATAAATTTTAGGGAACCTCTTCAGAAGTGTTCTTGATTTCCATTCGTTACCCATTTTTGTGGAAAGCCGTTATAGAAACAGTTAGTATCTTAGTAAGCAGACTTCACAGAGCAGGCACACAGATGTGAGAATTGAGCTCCTCCCCAAAGCTGTGATGTCTGGCTGGACAGGCTGAACCTCCACCAGCCAGTGACTGCCCCAGCTCCAGGTGTTTTTCAGTCTGGGTGCCTTCAGGAGTTCCCAGCTGCTATTCCAGGTCTCAGGCCTTGCCTGTGTGTTTGATTGAGGAGCAGATCCATAATGGCTGTAACCCCTGGCTGCATGGTGGTTGTGTCACTGCCATCCTGTAGCCTGTGTGCTGCTTACAAGATGTCACTGATGACAGTGCATTTGGTCCTGTCAGAGTCCCTTTTTATGTGTCTCAAACCCCCCATAGAGCACAGCATGTTCAGCAATCAGCTGAGCAAATTAGGCCCAGGAGTGCAGTAGAGCATACTGCAGCAAAAGGCAGCAAGCTGCTGGGAAAGCTGCGTGTGTGACCTTACACAGCATTTGTCCTTTTATGGCTGGCTGAGGCCAGCAATGCTCTCAGGAGGACAGCTGCACACTCCCTTCTGGGGGGCTGTTGCCAAGCCACTGGAATTCTGCCGCTATAACTAATGAACTCACTTAGGAACCTCTGAGTTGGGTTTAACATTTTGCAAAATGCATTTATTCCCAAATTCACTGGTAAAGATGTCCAGCTGGTCTGGATACACATGATTTCACAGGACACAGACTTCACAGCCAAAGGTTAAGGAAGTTAAGGTACAAACTTAAAATCACATTTGTTCTTTGAATAGTTCACCAGATTATGTGATTTTCCACCAAATTAGTAGCAGATGAATTGTCAAGGTTCTGTTGTCTTGTCTGACAAAAAAACTGTGCTTGAGGAAAGGAGGAACTTTCACACACTGTAAGGGTGCCGGAGAACATGCAGTTGGGGAGCAGTGGTACCTTATGGCGAATTAGACAGAAGGATGCCCTCTTCAGCACAAACTCCGGTTCAGCTAGAACACTCGCCCTAACAGTCTTTGCCAAGTTCTTCATCTGTAAGAACAATCAGTAAGAAGAGAACTGGGTGCATTTAGTCTACTGTGTGCTTCTAGTAATCTCTTATGCTGCAGTTAGTACCTGGATAAAGTAATTTGTGACAATACATTTCCTTGGCACCAAACAGCCACTAATGGCCATGCAAAAGAGCATGTAGGTAGTTCTGTTCAGCTCCAGATAAGCAAAAAACAGTCTGCAAGCACAGGATGCTATTAAAACCAAAGGGAGTTTTGATACTGAGTTTGACTAGCACAAAAGCACACCCTTTACATGGGAGACTCACTCTGTGGTGAGGTGGAGGAAGCCTCTTTGCCCTCCTACTGCTCCTTGTGGATAAATTCATGTGTGTATTAGCCTCTACCTAAGCCAAAGGCTTTAACTACGGAGCTTTACCTTTATTCTCTGATATAACTGCTTCCTTAGGTACTTTGCCAGTAGCTTCCTTGGAGTTTAATGTACCATCTTCATTCTCACATTGGCAAGACTTCTCAGCTCTCTCTCAAAGTTCATCAATAGAGAGGTCTATATATTTGTAAAACATTACGGTGATTTAGTAAGTGAAAAATTGAATAGCAGAAGGTGGTTCTGTATGTAACACCATCTCTACATGATCATTGTTTATCTTCTCAGAGGGAACCTGCAGTAGCTGTTGTAAATTCACACAACAGAAGAATACTTCCTTTCCTGCTCTGCCTACACCAGAAAATAAAGGGTGGCTGGCTGGAGAAAAGGAGAAGATACAGGAATGACTATAAAAGAAGTGGTCGAGAAGCTCACAGCATTTATTGTTCTCAAACTGAGAAAAAAAATAAATTTATCCATATCAAGAGTTTTGAAGAATTGGTGTATAAAACAGAGATTTAAAGATTTAGGAGTGCTGCAACCTGACAGCAGAACAGTAGGCAACATACCCATGCTTGTTAGAAAGACAAAGATTATCATGATAGCCAAAGACTTATCAGTCTTTCTACAGTCATGGGCGATCTTTAGAACAATTTGTGAAGGAAAGAATAATTAAGACCTGAAGGTAAGTAGAAAATGATGTAGATAAATTTATTAGGGCAAACTCAGCTGGTATCTCTTGTTGATTTCCCAGGTATAACTAATTTATCTGGATGCTAAACTGACATGCTAACTTGCTAAGCCAGGTTAGTTTGATTCCTTGTGATGATTCTTGTCTTGGACTGGACAAATACCCTTAGAACTGGGTATCAAAGTGAATAAGGAGCCAGCACAAGACAACTTGGGCAAGGAATTACTTAGTGGGAAGGAAAATAATATTGCTATTCCTCAAGGTGTTGTGCCTGATCATCTTAAAGGTTTTCATTTATTACCGTGGCGCATGTAAGGAAGTTCTGAAGTATTGTCAGCATGAAAGAGGGATGGAACACTCACTGCATGCTACTAGTGGCTAAAGCAGTGGAAATAAGGTAGAATTTGTGGGGCAGAATACAAGCCATATATGAGGATGGGAGCTGGATTTGGATGTTGGATGTCAAAAGCGAACAGTTAATTAGGTTTATTTATTGGTGATACAGAAAGAGAAACACTTCTGTAAGTTCAGTCTTACTATTTGAGACAATTATCTGGTGTGAATCTCCCATGGGAGATGTCTCCTGCACTCACAAGGTAGGTGTGAACCCTACTGTTCCGTCAGCTAAAGCTGTGTCAGATCAGTCTGACCTTCAGAAGAGTGTCTGCTCCAAAAAGGCCACCCATAGCTCCGAGAGGCCTGCAGTGAGGAAGGAATGAGGGTAATAGTTGATCATATTATGACTATGATGGGTTGGTGATGAAAAAGGCAAACAGATGATTTATGTATCCAAAAAGGTTTTTCTAAAGCAGAGTACTGACATATTCTCAGGTATGTAAACCCAGAACTCATCTGTGCACAATTCAGGTGACCAAGGCTGAGATGAGCTCTTCCCAAATCTTCGTTCGCAAAGCCTAGCCATGATGATGACAGTTTAGGTGACCTGTATTCGAGGAGGAAGAACAACTCAAGACTGCACCATGTGCAGAGAAAGCTGCAAACATCAATGTGAGAATGGAAAATGTATTTGTTAACAGTGCCTAAAGGAACTGCGCTTGTTTAGTTTCATAGAGTGAAGGTTGAGGGGGCCTCTGTTGCCTTATTAAATGTATCATAGCAAAGGAAGATCTTTGAAAATTCTTAATATGATATTGGTAAAGGATCCTAGTCTGGTTAAGAATAAATTTGAACTCAAAATACAAAGTTCTGGAACTATCACAGCAGTGGTTATTGTCCAGCGTCCATTTTCAAAGTGTTGCTTGATATGTTGGTAATTCAGGTTTTTTGGTTTTTTCTGGGTTTTTCTCTGAGATAAATATGACAGTGAAGAGTCCTACAGATACAGAATTTTTCACTATTAATAAGATGCCTATAATGAGATCTTACTATCTCCTCTTTATTTTTGGTTCAAGCTTCAACATTGTACCTTCTCCAGCATGTTCTTAATATCAGTGTATTAGAGAAGTTTTAATTGTAAATGTTATTTTCTAATAATGGGGGAGTCTTGCTGAGCTGCTAGTCTTGCCTGAGAAATACTTACCAGCAGCTTACCCCCAAGAACTCCTGTGCCCAAGAAGCAAGATGTCAGGGGAGTTCTGATGCTTGGTATACATAAATAGCAAGTGACATTAGACATCAGAAATCCTTTGTAGGCAGTAAACTGGTACTTGTTTGTGACAACATAAATGTAAGGGTAAACTTCCAGTCCTTTTAGATTCTCCTTTGCCCTAACAGCCAGGAGTTGCTTTACAGATAAGCCTATTTTGGAAGCTGAATGAGTGAATGATGCTTCTGGACTGTTTGCAAACATGCCGACTTGTGGCTGTCATTAGGAATCAGCCCCACATCATTAGTCTGGGTTCAGCGTTTAAGAGATACTTCCTGTTGTGCTGGCATTTTTACAGCATCCTGGGATGGAAATTTGCAAGTGCAAGTAAAGTGTAGGGAAGACAGGAGCATGTTAAAAATTTACTTTGAAGAATTGAAACCCAGTTCTTTTCAGGAGCTTTTAAAGATCTTCATTTCAGTGGTACAGGTGGTACCTAATGTTTGATGAAAATCTAACATACAGATAGATTAGAGCTGTGAACTCTAAGTGGTTGCCACAGAGCAGGAAGTGAGGACTGTCTCCTCCCAGCAATACAGTCCAGTTGGTCCTCTCTTTTGGTACAGGGAAAGTCAAGGATTTGCAAAGATAAAAAAAGACGGAGCTAGACTTTTCTTGACAACTAGATAGCTCTGAAAGGAAGGGTGAACTGGATGAGATGCAACAGAACAAATCACACTGTTCTCTGGGTTTTTTCCCATCACCCTGTTCCCCAAGGATCATGGAGACATGGGCAAGTGTGTCTTGCCACCTGTAGGATGAACATTTGCAGGTTGAGTCCTGTAAGCAGGACACCAAAATGCTATTTACATTGCAATTATGGATCTGACTCTATGAAAAGGAGAGGATGTTTTGGACCATGAGGCCATATAAAGGCTGGGCTCTCAAGTTTTCCAGTGGTGTTCTTGATGGGTCTGTTGCTGATGCAAACATCTATGGATAAGTATTGGTGGTACAGTGACAAAACTTGGCCTCTGACCAGTAATGAAGGCCCAAAGTGGAGTTTGCAGAATGCTCCTTCATCCTCTCTGCACCATTGTTTTCTGTACAGAAATGAAGAAGAACATTCTTGTTACACACCTGTGAGATTTACAGAAACTCCCAGGTATGCTCTTTCCCCACCTTACGCAGCTCAGGCTCATCTCTTGCTCATGTAAGGAGGAGCGTGGTGAAAATTGTTGTCTGTCATCCTTGGATTTCTCTTTGTGCGGTTTACTGAGTACTGTGATAGTGCATGTTGCTCAGAATTGCTGTTGGGGGCATTGTGAGAATACAGTGAACTTTTGCAGCTTTCCTAGAAAGTAGGACAGGAGCAAAGAGGCAACAATGAAGCAGCTCTGCAAGGCAGAAAGATGTGTGAGACTCCTCTGCGGGGGCTCTTCCTCTCTGACTCATCTGAGAGCTATACTCCCACTTTTCATTTGAAAATGAACCTCTACCCCTCCCTCAACTGTAGTTGTCCCTAACAGTGTTGGCGTCACCTTTACACCTCTTTCTCTCACAAGCATGTGTGGGTGGTGCTAGCTTTGCACATGAAAACACTGGGTAGTGCTCAGCCCTGCTCTTTTGTTCTGGTAGTGGTCACCATTGGATACACTTTCTCTCATACTGTCAGAAATGTTTCCACCATAGCAAACATAAGGATGGAGACTGCTGCTGGGTGAGCTGCTCCTCCTACCACACAGTGAAAAACACCAGCCAGCAGAGACAAGGGTGGAAGGTCTCTACTCTGGAGTGCTGGCAACTGCCTTGCTATTGCTTTTTAAACACTCGTGAGACAGTCTTCCATTACATGTGAAATGAATCCATCAAAAGTGATGACAGGGGAACATGGATCAAACTGCCAGATGGAGGAAAGATATACTTACAAGAGTCCTTGCCAATCATACCAAACGTTTCAGATGGGAGCATGGTGACTCACAGGAGAGAGCTGCTTTTCTGCTGTGCTCCACGCAGGTGCACTGATAGCGACAGCATATTGCCACCCCAGGTGGGTGGAGGCTCTTTGAAACACAAAAGGAAGGAGTAAAAGACCTGAAAATTTGAATTTTGAAATTACTTACCCTTAGATTAATTCAGTCCTTCATGCTTTCCATTGCCTTCCTCAGGAGAGAAACAAATTTTCTGGTTCTGTAGCTGATTGTGATGGCCAAGCCACAACTTGACAAGTCTGGCACTACCAAGAGTCAATGGCCTGAGTCATAAATCCTGAATGCAGGCACATCCCTTGCAGGGAATCACCTTTCAGGGATGTGACAGATGTGACCTCACAGCCACCTTCCAGCCATGGGCTCCTGCTGCCCATAAGATCCATGTAAAGCATCAACTCATGTAAACCTGTAATCTCTTGGGAAGTTTCTGAATGGTGCTTAGCCTTTATAGATCGAATCCTGTATAAAGATTAGAAACAACGAGTTAAGGCATCTTTGGAATCACAAATTCCTTGTTCTTAACCCAAGGCCTTTTGCTGTTAGAATGGATGCACAGGGACCTGGTAACAAAGCTCAGCCCTTCACTCCAGCACAAACAGGATGTCGCAGCAACACACTCAGAAAGATTTAACAACAGCTCACCTGAAAAATGAGTCAACAGATCATCATTTTGAGGAGTGAGTGGAAAAGTGAACTTTCTGTTCCCAAGACGACAACGTTAAGCAAGGCTGAAAAGTGATGTTTTCTGTTATTGTGGAGATGCAGTCTAGTCTCCAGCACCCAGGATGGAGTCAGGCTGATTTCAGCATTACAGTCAGAACTGACTTAATCAATGGCAGTTTAATATCCTTCTCAATTGCTAGTGTCACTGCTGCTGCTTCACCTTTGCAGGGACCTGGCAGCCCAGTCCATCACAGGCCAGTATGGTTGCCGAAAGGATGAGCCTCTTTCAGACATACCCACTGCAAGAACTGGTGTCACATGTAAAGAACAAGATCAGGGCTGTGATACCCAGCATAAAAAACATGTAAGAACTCAGTGGTAGTTGGAGAGCTATTTCCGTGCACAAATGTTTCATGGGTGTTTTGGGTTTTTTTTCTCTAAACCATAAAAATAGAAGGCATGATGCTGAAGAAAGATCTGCTTGTTTTAGGCACTGGAGAAATTGTGCAGCAACAATTAGCCTTTATGCAAAGATTAGTCCTTAAGTAGGGAGGTATGGGTCTCTTTTAACACTGCTTGACTTTTCCACAGGAGGTTTTATATTTATAAGTGATTTTATATTTATAAGTGATTGTTCCTGCTCACACAGAAAACTTCTGTCTCTTCATCTGCTTCCCTGGAGACTTCTGAACTTGTCATCAACCTGATATCCCAGTCAGAGGAACACTTCCCCACTGTGCAATGAAAATTTATCAGCTAGTCCTTCAGCATGTCTCAACAACTCAGAGATTATTAACTCATCATTCAAGTGATTAATGCTCCTGGGTGTTTGAGAGGCATAACTCTGGTACTTATGAGGTGCATGGAGACCCTGGAAAAGAAGGCAGAAGTGGAATGCAAAGCATGACAGTTTGTACTGAAGGGCAGACTAACCCTGCTCTAGCTTGTATCCTGTACCCACTCCACCTGGGTTCTGTTTTAACTGGCCTCTGTAGGCCCCACAACACAAACAGTGAACAGCCCCTTTTAATCTCCTTCCTTTGTATGACAATCCAGATCTGCGGATTCTCAAGGGAGTGCATCTGAGAAGAAGTCATTTCACTTAGCACTGCCTAATTATAGCCATGTTGACAGCCACAGTTGTAACTCCTCTGCTAAGAGATTTTTAGTATTCATCATCAGGCTCCTCATTGGTTGCTGCAGAGTACCTGTCAGTCATGATAATTACTAATTTGTTTTAACTTGCCTTAGAAGCATTCCTAGAATTTATGGCTGTGCTGTGAATCGGCACAGGCCTTGTTATTCCAGCTTTGCCTTCTACTATGACAGAGGTATGGCAGAAATGCAACATATATAGGCATCATAGCCTGTCTATAAGTGATGCCTGACCATGATTCGTACATGTTTGAGCCACATACACCACCAGGAGCACCTTAGTATAAAATCAGTCCTGGGATTGCTTTTGTGGCTCTGCTCTCATTTTGAACATACACACTGACAGGTGTGTGTATATAATTTTCCAGAAGAGCTGGTCTGTCTGTCCTTGTACCTGTGACTGAGGCAGCTAATAAGGCTGCTGCATTCAAATAGAGTCAGGTCAAGAAAAGGAGATCAAGCAGGACAAACGATAAAGACTATTTCTCAGCCAGGCAGGCATGGGTCCAGTGCTGTGTCCAAAAGATCTCATGTTTTAGCCTCAAGAAAGCAAAGTTGCTTCAGAAGATTGTCATGCCCCGCATTACAACAGGGGATGTCAACAACATTCCATGCTTTACTGGAATGCATTGGTGCCAGTAAAGAGCACCCAGATCATGTAAAACACAGGGCAAGAACAGCATGAATACAGAGATCTGTGCTCTAATAAAGGCCTAATGTTCTAAAATAAAGCTAGAAATTAAACAAAATTTCCCCTTTCCTCCTACCACATACTTCAAGGCAAGCCTAGACCATGCTTCATCCCAGCCTGCGCACCAGGATTTCTCCACAGCATGTCCTTGCCTTTGCCCAACAAGCCACCCCAGCAACTCTGCTACCTGTGAACTGCTCCTCCACAAGCCTCCCCTTCCACTCCCCACCCAGCTTTCTGCCTCCCACAGATGGCTTTCTGAGTCATGATGGACATGGATGAAGCTTTCCAGCATGGCCTAGTAGAGCTCTTCCCCTATTTTGTCTCCAATTTCTGCAACCCTGTAGTGCTGAGCCATGGCTGTCAGCCTGGAAAACACGGCCTCTGTGAACTTCCCTGAATCCACATGCAGCACCTCATCTCTGCTGTGCTACTGCTCTTAGGAGAGTCCTCAAAGCAGGTATAAATTGCTTTCAGTGTGCTACAGCTGTGATTGTCTCACAGCTCAGGAACATATTACCCCTGTGTCCATCTTGACCAGAGGAGGGGATTTCCTTACACATCCTGCTCCAGGTCCTGAGCTTTTGTAAGTGCCCTGGGCATCTCTGTTTAGACTCAGCAACTCCAGCAAGAGGATCATGACACTGTTCCTGTGGCTGGGCAGGGAGGGGTCCCTGGCAGGGAAAGCAGAGTGACTAAGTAGTGGTTCTGCCCAGATCAAGATTTCCCTCTGCCAGCAGTAATCCTTTGCAGGAACACCTGCACCATAATCACCATAGAGACCAGTGCCAAAGCCTGAAGCATTGTAGCCAGTAAGAATTTCTGAGTTTAGGAGAGGTTCACTCTCTGTGCCATATTACACATACAGTAATAATTATTTCGGGTGAGTACTGAAGCAGTAAGACTTTGCATGTTCCCTGCAGAAGGAGGCTGCTCCAGCGGCACTGCTATGGCTTTTGAAGCTATTATTTTAACTTGGAGACCCATCACACAGTCAGTTCTGCTACTGGTCCTTGAATCCCAACAATCTCCCCTCCATCAAACAGAAAGTTTAATTTTATGGACGGATGTTTCAAAATGTGACCTTTCCCAAGGTGAAGCACTCAGTGGATGTATTATTTATTGGTTTTCAATTTTTCCACAGGCAGACATGTCTATTCCGTCAGGAAGCTTGAACAAGAAGATGTTTAAAAATTCATTTAAGTGCAAATGCAGTCCTCACTAGTGTAGTAATGCTTTCTCTTAATGAGAAATTGAAGAGCAAGATGTGCTTATACAGGAGGATAAATGATAGCTTGTCTGAGGTACAACTGACAGCTTGTAGCTATCCACTCTCTCTGCAGGTGCAGTTTAACTGGTCTCCAGCCCTGTCCGTGGGCTCACTTCCCATCCATCTGCTCTCTGAAATTGGACTGTACCTAAAGTGTAGAGTACCTCAGTTTGCCTCAGCATCTAAGTTCGTGTTCTTTGAAGGGAACAGCATCAAGGTGCTCAGAGCAGCTCCAGCAGCGCCAGCTGACCTTGCAAGGCTCTTGTGGGATGGGCCAGGCCCTTGTGCAGGGGTGCAGATGGAGGAAAAGCTCCTCATTTTGGAAGCATTGCTCTTCTTTCCCTCTGAGGGAGGAGCAGAGGTCACCCTGGAGGTCACATGCAGGCTTGTATCTTCTATCTCCTAAGGATCGTGATAACTGAGTGTGGCTAATTCATAAGGTTCTCTTTTCTTCCAAACCAACATAACTTAAATTTTTGCAAATTGGTTAAATAGTAATTCCAAGAGATGCAAGCAAAAACCCCACTAGTGGATTATGGCAAATTAGAACAGTTTGCTGAGAAATTAGTTCATTTGATTGGAAACAGTACATTTTATGCTGTAGTGAATCCTTTAGAACTCAAAAAATGTTCATGAATTATGTAAATAAGAACAGCATTTTGTACTCATCTTTCTGGGAAAATCAGTCCTGACAGCTTGTTGGATTTGCCTCTTCTGGCTATTTGTGATGGTGACTTAGAAACTCTTCCTGATTGAGTGTTCAGTCAAGTAAAAAGGAAGAATAAACCCAGCGTAGGCTCTTACATGTTCTGTTATAAAAACTGACAGTGCCTGACCCTAACACAATGTGTTATTTTCCTGTGCCAAACTGAGGCCAGGCCCCTACACAGACTTTGTTCCCAAGCTCTGACTGCTGACACTATTCTCCAATTTACACTGGGTGACACAGAATCATTAACATATGTTGAGCAAGTTTAAATTCCTTCATAATTGGGAGTAATCACTAACATAGGATAAGAATAGTAAGTAAAAGCTGCAGCCCAAGTGATAAAAATAGCCTGACTGAAGCACTGAGGCTGGAAGACAGCAGATCTTGGGGCTGCAAGACCAGGACTTCAGAGTCCTCCTATGCCTCCCACATGTGCATTTATACTTTCTGCACAAGGTGCCATTTAATACCCCATGCTCCATGAAATGGCAGTTTCTGCACCAGAGGAAGGATTTTTCTGCAAGCTCTCTAGGCCCTAGAAGAAAAGGCAGGTTTGATAGTGTTTGCATAGCAGGCATCACAGCCCAGCTCCCCATCTCACTTTTGGTCTCTGTGAGAATCCCTGCATGGGCAGCCAGCCTGTGAGTCTGACCAGGTCTAGCATGGCTTTCTCATACCCGTGTCACCTCCTGATCCCTTGACGAGAGCCACCCTGGTGCACACTGGCAGGTGTGTGATCCCAGGTGCTGCACCAGGGAGC